GGGGGCGGCCGCGAGGAACTCGGTGGGGGCCGGAGCAACAAGCGGAGCGCGGGGAACCGGGCCGTCACCGAAGAAGAAACGAAAAACAAACCTAAATTGGTGAGTGCTCCCGCAGCCCCCGCCGGCCTTGGGGACGGGGAGAGCCCCGGGATCCTCCTGCCGTTGAACACGGGGGCACCCGGGGCCCCCTCCCAAGGGTGACCGCGACCTCGCTGTGCAACTCCGGGCGCCGCTGAAGGAGCGGCCACGCCGAGGCGCGGAGACGGCGTGGGGGCGGAAGAGCACCCCCTTCTCCACTTAACCTCTTTCTCACTCTTGTCAGCCGGCGGGAGAAAGGCCCCACCCCAACTTGGGGAGACCCCCAAGTACCGGGTAGGGCTGCTGTTTGTCCAACTTGTGGGCACGAACCTCCTTTGCGCGATTCCATTCCCCTCCCACCTCTTGTCAGTTGCTGTTTTGCTTCTTAACACTTCGGGTCTGGGGCAGGGGCGCCTCTCTGCTTTTCAGCCCCAAATCCTTGGGAGCCCTCCCACAGCCTGACAGATTAAGGGAAACACAGCATAGGCCCCCAGTCTCTGTACTTAAGCAGAAATCTGAGGAAGAGGCGCCTACGTGCGCTTTATCCCCCTCGCCTTTCTCCATGTGCTCTCCCAGGAAACGTTTCTTTGGAACCGTGGGGGCAGCGTGGGAGGTGGAGGCTGGGTGAGGTGCCACCAACTGTCGTGCCTGTGTGTAATGGGTATAGTCATACAGTACTTTCACTTAGTTGATTCAGGACGCTCAAAAGCAGTGGGCAGACTGCACGTCTCACTGTCCTGATAGTGTGAACCAGTGCTAGCAGTCCATTTCCTGCCACTAAATGTGCAAAGGAATGAAATCTATGGGGCCTGGTATTCTGTTGGGAAATACTGGAGTTTCCTCAACTCATCAGTTAAGAGTTCCTCATTTTGTAAACTTTCTAATCTGGGTGGCGTGAGGGGAAAGGGTTTTCCTGCACAAATTCAGTCCGTACTCTTTATAGCTGAAGATTCTTGGTCTGTCTGAATCACAAGCCACTTGTTGCATGTCTAGAGTTCAGTTTTAACCAGCAATTGGGTTATAATAGGAAAGGAGATGGTGACATGTAACTGAAGCCATTACTTACTGGATCTGGCCACTTGGTGTGGACCTGTTGTACTTCTCTCTCCGCACCTATTTGCCTCTCAAGTATGGACGGTCCATATTGGAAAGCAGTGGTGGAAGTGTTGTGTTTTAGGGAATATGCAGCCTTCCATCATGTAAGAAGGAAGCTGGTGGGGTAGATTAAAACAAAAAGTTTAAAAGTCTCATCAATTGCACCCTAACTCGAGGCAAATTGAGAATTGGCTTACATGATGTGTCCTGTGAGCCCAGTATTTGCGAACAAGAAACTGAGCCCTAGGCCTCTTGCAACTTGTCTGTGGTGGTAGGGGGTTAGCAGGTGCCTGTGCCATCATGAAACTTAGAAAAGTTTTGTGAGTGTATCACCAGAGTTTAATGTTTTAAATATACTGATGTTGCGATTTTTTTATTTTTTATTTATTTTTTTGGAGAGGTTTTCGCTGTAGGGCGCGTGTGCTCGCCAGACAGAGACATAGAGACAGAAAGCGAGAAATCACCCCCCAGGGGGGATGGTCATGCTGCAATCCCTTCTCCTCCATTCTCCTCTGGGGATCGTGGGCACGCACATGCGCCCGGCGTGAGTTTTAAGCCACCGGGTCCGGGACATGAACCGCAGTCGACTATGTGGGAGTCCAGTGACATAGCCATTTCACTAACTGCTGATTCCCCTGATGTTGCGATTTTGAAATGTATCAGTTTACAGTAAAAGAGTGATCATGTTTTCTCTTTTGAGGGGGCAGTATGAAACTTGTTTAATCAGTGATTAAGTAAAAATAAAAGTTAACTGAGAAAAAGCACTTGTTTCTGTTAGATAACACCTTGATTATATTCTTCCCTTTCCCTTTGGTCATTTGTCCTGTTTCATCTTTTATGTTTTACTTGATTTGACAAGGTAACTAGATAGTTATGAGATGGTATCGCTTTCAGTTACTAACTAACTTCACTGTTCCATGTTGAACATAGCTTGATATAGTAGAATAAATATTTGAATCCAGGAGGGTGTTAATACCAACATGAATTTTCTTTTCTGCTGGAATATAACTTGAGCCTTGCATGATTTTATGAGCACATGTGTCAGAATTAATAACAAATTTAGGAAGATATTATACCACTTTTTAAAGCAAGCAGATTGACCAGACAGTAAGATTTGGTAAACTTTTAAAGTCAATGTTCATCTGAGATTCTTAACTTAAAATTTTGCTAGTAAGGTAAAAGCTTTAGACTACATTTTGTTATTTTGGACATTATGTTAATAAACACTGTAATAGTTCTTATTTGTATGTGTACGTGTTTAAAGGAGTTGTGGTATAGGTTGCATAAGGGAGTCTTATGGCACTAGAAATAATTTATATGGGTCATTGTGGGGCATAGGGGTTCTAAGCTCCTAAAATGGTATAGAAAAATTTTGAGTGTGTAAGTTTTCCTGGGCTTCATAGCTATAATCAACTTCTCAAAGGTATCCCATCACCTACAGAAGAATAAGAACTATTGCATCACTAAAGACAGGCAGTAAAGGAAATGACAGTTGATTACACTCTAGGTTACTAGGGAAGGGAGGAGGTCAGCAATCAAGGGAAAAGGGAAATGGCACTGACCACACGAGTGATTGACATTGAAGATAGTTCTTCTGGGTGTAAAAAGGAGTTAATTACACAGTGTCTATATACTATTAGCTAAGATTAAGGTTTGAAAAAAGTAATTGCTCTAGTAGAGTGGATTCATAAACTATAAGACTTGTGGTTCTGTTATTTTCATGTAGTTCCTCATGATCCTGGAAAAATAGATGGAAGGCATATTTTCTAGAGAGGGGAACTACTTTCATTTATGTCTTCAACTTCTTGATGGGTATTAGTGAGATTTTTTTCAGAGTGGCATCGCAGTGCTATAATGACTTCTATTTAAGGTTAATTAAAAATTTTACAATATTTACTTCATTTTTCTTCATACAAGGGAACTTTGATAAATTCATGAAAAATAGAATTAAAGTGTAAGTTTATTTGGGTATGAAGTTTTTGAAATTCATGCTTAGTTTTTTCATAATACACATTTCCTATTAACTTTTTAAAGATCCCCCCCCCCATATATGTGTCCTCATAATGAGCTTTTTTTTTGTTTATTTTTTGTGGCATGTTTTTGTCAAGTGCAGGAGATGTTATAGGCAGGTCTCTCAGTTCTTCTGCCTCAGCCTCCTGAGCAGCTTGGACCACAGGTGAGCAACCCTGTGCCCAGGTTTTTAGTTTGTTTGCTTGTTTGTCTTAGGATGGCCTGGGAATGGAACCTGGGCTTCCCATGTGGCCTCAGCCTGCCAAGCAGTGGCTTCGGCACCTGCTACCATGACTGGGTCTTGATTCTTTTTTATTTTTTTGAAGTTTTATTTGTTTATATCTTCCATGAGTGGGAGAGAGACAGACACTGTGAAATAGCACCCCTAACAGGGTTTTGATTCTGTGATCCAACCCCAGCCAGCACAGATCATGGGCATCTGTATGGTTAGTACACTCAGGTCTCTGGAGGTGAACTCAGAAACTTCTCATGTGGGTCAGCCTTGCAGAATGTCACATTTCAGTGTTGTGCCACTGTCTGCCCTGTCCTCTTGGTTCTTTTTAAGGAAGATAGTTCTGCCTTGGAATTAGCACATTTTTAATAATGCATTAGTAGAATTTTGGATTTCATGTAAATAATTGGTTAGGTCTAAATTGTGGCATGTCATCAAACAGCATGAATCTTTGTTTAATTAATCATATGATGTCAGCTATGGAATGTAGTTTGTTAGACTGTGTAGGAGAGAGAATGTTACAAGTGTTATGAAGGAGCTAAATCGTGAATCCCATGGATCTAAGGCAGTTACTTCACCATTAAGAAAGCCAATGTTAAGGTAGAAATAATGTTTCTCTCTCTCTCTCTCTCTCTCTGTCTCTCTCTCTCTCACACACACACACACACACACACACACACACACACACACACAGGATAATGTAGAGTGGCTTGACAGTATTTGTTGTTTTTGCATTTTTTAAAAAAAATTGCTATAGGTTGCTTGTATTTGCGAGAGAGAGAGAAAGTGAGAAAGTGGGAAATGATCACATCACAATTCCTTCTCCTCCATTTGCCTCTTGGGGTTTTGGACAAGTGTGTACACGTATCTGGTGTGTTTCTCAAGTCGCTGGGTCTGGGACTCAAACCATGTAGTAGGCCACATTGGAGTTAGCTATCTTAACCACCATACTCCTTGCCTGGCCCTGTTTTTGTATTTTGACTTTGTGTTTCTGTATGATTTCTGAAGCCTTTATTTCTTTAGACACTGGAGTCCAATTAGTAACTTGAAATAACAGAGGTTAATTTTCTGGGTCTTACATATAACTTCCTGAGTATTTGATTATTTATTTATAATTGGATAAATCATGTTTTGATGTTAAATGATAAGGTATGAGCACCATAAATTTGTTTATGCCATGCATATTTACTGAGTACCTACTACGTGCTTGGCATTATTCTAAGGAATGATGATACAGAGATGATTTTAGTCTAGTGAGACAGGGAAGTTAACTAATGATCAAGGAGCAGTGTGATAAATTATGATAGAAATATGCAGAGGAGGGTGTTATTAAAACATCATAGAGAGACATTTAAATCATATTGGATACTTGAGCATGGTAAGGAAAGACTTATCCTAGTAGGTGACATGGTACTGAGGCTTGAATAATAGGGCATTAATTTAAGAAGGAGAGGTACAGGTTGAAAGAACAATATGTACAAAGGTAGAGGGATATGGGAACATGCTCAGTGAAGTTCAGGTAGATGTGTTTGGCTGAAATAAAAGGTACATATTATAGACCTGCCAGAAAACAGACAGGGTCCAGATCAGGTTGGATCTTTGTATAGCCTGCCAAGCAGTGGCTTCGGCACCTGCTACCATGACTGGGTCTTGATTCTTTTTTATTTTTTTGAAGTTTTATTTG